GGATCATGGGGGTTATAGCATGTGTTATCATATCTAGCTCTCATGTGGATTTTGGGGTTCAAACTCATGCCCTCATGCTTGACCCATGAAACCCTCTCCAGCTCTTTCTTTTTTTTCCTATAAAGGTGCCAAGAGTCGGGATAGGAAACTCTGTCCCTGTTCTGTGTTCCGTTTCACACATTTTTGAGCCAAGGGCTTCGGACTCATTAGCCAAACACTCTACCACCAGCTAATCCCCAGCCCTCCTTGTTCAGTTTTCAATAAGTTGTCCAGACTCAAACTCACTGAGCCCAGACAAGCCTCGACTCTGTTATCCTCCTGCCTCACCCTCCTGAGTATCTGGAACAACAGACCTGAGCCCCTAGGCCCGGTGTCTTTCCACACTAACTGTAATGTTCTGACTCTGATGCCAAGCACTGGGCTCACAGATGGTTAGTCACTGGTGTGGCGTGAAGCTCTGGTGTGGGCAGCCGGTGCTTTCACAGCAGCAGCAGACATTTTGGAACACACATTATAAAGGGGAACGATGTGTAGGTCTGTGAAGTGCTTATGTTGAAAAGGATGGCTACAGTACGAGCCACCTGCTGAAACCTTGGGAAACTGAGGTCCGGGGATCATCTATGGGTGCCATGTGTCAGAGCCATCTGGCTGTGTGGGTGCCAGCTAGAAACAGGTAGCCTCCATGCCTTCTGCCCACCATAACTCCACATTGGCATGCCTTTCAGTTCCTCACGTACCTGTTTTCACGGGAGAACAGCATCTGGGAGGAGAAGTATGATGTAGTGGACATGCAGGACATGAACAATCCCTTGTCGCATTACTGGATCTCCTCTTCCCACAACACGTGAGTTTCTGGGTGAGCCTAAGCTGGCCCCACAGCACTGAGAGTGATAACAGCCAGCTGGTGGCTCCATGCACAGCTCTGACAGAGCTGGCTGTGAAAGGCTGGGGAGGGAGTACCACATTGTTCAGAAGGTCCTGGAGAGGGTTAGGGGAATCTGCTCTTTCCAGCTAGTACTGGGATGATTATGCTTCATCTGTGGCCTTCTAAGCAAGTTTGCAAAGCTGGCTTTCGGGGATTTGATCTTCATGCCATGGAAGTATTCACTCAGCCAGTGAGCCAGTGTTTGTGGAACATCTACCCTGGGCCAGTCTCTCTGCCTACCAGGTGTGAGGATGCATCAGCGAATGAGGCAGGAGCAGTTACATTCTCAGGTGCTTGGAGAAGATGGCGAACACTGAGTGCCAGCTCCAAGCACCAGCTGGTGGCTGAACTGAGGGTCTGGTGAGCAGAGTTGCCTGGTGAGAGCTGCATGTGCTAATGCCCTGGGACAGGAGCAGTTGGGGGGTGTTTCTAAGGCTGGGGTGAAGAGTCTGGGAGGATAGCAGCAGGACAGATGGCCAGCCTGAGCAGAAGCTTGTAAGTCACAGGGCAGCAGGGAGCCTCGGCCACTTCAGCCAGAGTGGCATGCTCTGATTCACTTCTTTGGATAATTATGCTGATTCTAAAAGAGTAGGGTGGATCAAGGCACTTAGAAGGGATGCTGCCGTCCGACGTCAGTGTCTAGCCAGCCTTCAGGATGAGGGTGGAATCTTTGATCTTTAGGCTGAAAAGAACTGTAGACCAGTACTTCCCCCAGTGCCTTTTCAAGGGTGGGGCATGAGCCAGACCCCCAGTGTGCCATCCTCTAGGTATTTGGGAAGGTGAAATCTTTTCCAGGGGAATGGGTAGGTGGGATGTCTTGAGTTCATATCTTAGGACAGTGGATTCTCCAAGCCTAGAGACAGTCGGGGAATGTCCTGAGAAGGAGGGTGACATGGAGAGAAGGCAAAGATGCAGCAATTTGTACTTTTCAAAGCATCAAAAACACTCCTAAATAATGTAAGAAATAAATGGGCTAACAGAAGAATGGATAAAGAAAGTGTAGTGTGTGTGTGTTTGTGCAACACTTAAATCCAATAGAATTTTAAGAAGCTGTGAAGGAAATGAAGTCATGACATTTGTGAGAAAATGGATGTAGCCATAAACCATTCTGTTGAGTGAAACAAGCCAGACTCAGAAACATGACTACTGTTTGTTTAAAGAAAAAAATGATTTTATGGCAGTCTTTGTTGACTAGGTTCGTGGCACCATACATCCTTACAGGAATTGTTGAGCCTGCCTGAGCTGGCCCTGAGTCTCAAGAATGAAGCTAGGGTCCATTTCTACTGGTACCCAGAGGCCAGCGGGCAGCTACAGGGGTCCATAGCTTACACTCTCTTTGCTCCTGACACCTTCAGCTAGGTCTCCAAGAAGGAGCACACCATCTTCATTGCATTTGGATTGATCAGGTAGCCATTATGCACATTTCATTGGTGGTCCCAAGCCCAAGGCCTCAGGATGGCATGTGTGTGGGTCAGTCCTTAGCCTGCATGTTTCTAGATAGAAGACCTCAGGCTCATGGGCTTGGGCTCAAGTGGTTTGTCTTAGTTATGTATTTCTATTGCTTCAAAGAGATACCATGACCATAGCAACTCTTACAAATGAAAATATTTAATTGGGGCTGGCTAACAGTTCAGAGTTCATTGTCATCATGGTGGGAAGCATGGTGGAGTATAGGCAGACATGTGCTGGAGATGGGCTGAGAGTTCTACATCTGGACCCCTAGGCAGCAGAAAGTAAGACTGCGACAATGGGCCTGGCTTGAGCATCTGAGATCCCAAAGCCTGTCCCCCCAGTGACACACTTCCTCCAGCAAGGCCACACCCACTCCAATAAGGCCACACCTCCTGATATTTCACTCCTTAATAGTCTCTGGGGGCCATTTTCATTCAAACCACCACAGTTGCCAAGCATGAACTGTGTGCAGTACTGCCTTCTTGACATGGCTCTCATTCTCTGTCCCTCAGGTACCTCACGGGGGACCAGCTGCGTAGTGAGTCCTCCACAGAAGCATATATCCGCTGTCTGCGTGCTGGCTGTCGTTGCATAGAGTGTGAGTATTCTGTTCTGGCCAAGATGATGTGATGAGCAGAGCCAGGAAGCTCAGCCTTTCCTTGTTGTCTTTTGGTGTTAAAGTCTTTAATATTGGTGGGAGAGGGGGGAGGGAGACAAGCTGAGGGCTCCTTGTGCTGGTGGAGGAGGGGGAGGAGGACAAGCTGAAGGGTGTTCATGTAGAGCAACTCCAGGAAAGAAGGTGATTGAGGATTTTCCCCTAGAAGACAGTTGCCCCCAAGCAAGAAGTGCCATCTGGTGGGGCAAGAGGTTGGGGCACCTGGAAAGAATCCTAATACAGTGGGAAGCTGGGGGCCAGCAGCAAGGATCACTTTCTGTTACGAGGAACACTGATATATCCCTGTTAGGATGACACATCCAGGAGCCACATGCCTGTAGCTGAGGCCTTGAGAGCAACCATGAAAGGGACTGTCAGGAACAGCTGGGGCCAGGCAGGTGGCAGAGCCTTGTGTGTGTGTGTTTACACGTTTGTATCTCCCTGTGCATAAAAAGCAGAAGTTGACATCAGTTGTGTCCCTCAGTTACTATTTATAAGGAAGGGTCTCTCAGTGAGTCTGTAGCTCTAGTCTAGCTAACCAGCTTGCCCTTGTCTCCTCTTGCCCAGCATCTACATGGGTTCTGGGGATTTGAACTCTGGTCCTCATGCTTACACAGTAAATGCTTTATCCCTTGAACTGACTGTTCAGCTCATCTTTGGGTCTTTTCTACCCAGACTCATTCTGTCACCAAAGCTCCTAGATGTTTGGCTTAGTTAGCATCTTACTTACCTTAGTAACCTGAGGTGTTAACTTTGTGTTGGAGGAAGGTTTGCTTCCCGTTCTGTGTCTTGGGTTGGGAGCGTTGTTTCGGCTTCCAACAACAGGCCATGACAAGAAAATGTGGTAGAGCCAATGCTTCCATCAAGCTAGGAGAGGACGAAGAAGAAGCTGGCTCCCCATCCCTTTCAAGGACACTCCCTCAATGCCCCTAAAACCTCCTCCTTGGCCTTATATATTGCTAATCTAGGAATCAAGTCTGGTGACACTTTCCTAAGTCTCAGCCATGTGTGTGGCTGAGAAAACAGCCCAAACTACAGACTGCACCTCGTGTTTTCAAACCTGCTTATCCTGTGTCAGAGCTTAGTGGCAGTTAGATACACGTGGGCCTCCTGGGTTTGTGCTTTTCCCTTTGGGAAAAAGCTGTGGGAAAATGAAGTCAGAGGCCCCCAGCTCCAGCTTCCTGGGGGATGTTCAAGCCCCACAAACTTCTTTTCTTTTCTTTTCTTTTTTTTTTTTTTTTTTTTTTTTTTAAGATTTATTTATTGTGTTTACAATGCTCTACTTACATGTCTGCTTCAACACCAGAAGAGGGCACCAGACCCGATTACAGATGGCTGTGAGCCACCATGTGGTTGCTGGGAATTGAACTCAGGACCTTTGGAAGAGTAACCAGTGCTCTTAACCTCTGAGCCATCTCTCCAGCCCCCCACGGACTTATTTTCATTTGCACAATTTACCACAAACCTTTAAGAAATTGACTCATTGCTCTTACTCTGTTTCTACTGGTAAAAGAGGAGAGCCTAGAACAGCTGATGCAAGAAAATATAACCCATTATGAATATCTTATGAAGAAAGGTGCACTGGAAGGATATTTTTAGGGAAGCATGTTGTGTTTTGTAAGTCTGTAGACACAATCATGTTTGTGCCCGTGAACCTGGGTCAGCCCTGGAAATGGAGCTGGTGTGGAGACCTGGGTCTAACCTCATGTTCTCAGCCTGGCCACATGCCCTGTCTACCTGTTCCCTCTTGGGGGCTATGCTTCCTCGTGCTGAGCAGCTGTGTTTCCCCTCAGTGGACTGCTGGGATGGGCCTGATGGCAAACCCATCATCTACCATGGCTGGACTCGGACCACCAAGATCAAGTTTGATGACGTTGTTCAGGCCATCCGAGACCACGCCTTTGTCACCTCCAGGTCAGTGGCTGATGTGCTGCAGGTGTGTCTGTAAAGGGAAAGCTGCTAGGGCTGGACACACAGACACAGACACACACACACACACACACACACACACACACACACATGTGCATGTGCACACTGCCCACTTTTTCCAAACCCTGGGAAGCTTGGGCTCCATTTTGCTAGATACTGGCAAATGGCCCTATGAAATGATGGTGGTCTTAGAAATCATGTTTGCTATTTTAATTAGATGCATGTGTACGTGTGGGTATGTGCATGTGAGTTCAGCTGCTGGAGCAGGCCAGGGGCATGGGATCCCTGCAGCTGGAGTTACAGGTGGCTGTGAGCTGCCAGATGTGGGTGCTGGGAGCTGAACTGGGGTCCTCTGAGAGAAAGAGCATTGTGAACTCTTCACCTCTGAACCATCTCTTTAGCCCCCATGAGGCCGAGTTTTAGTTTCACAGAGATGGTGCAGTAGGCAGCTACTCAGACTCTGTCAGCTGACTGTCATGATGAAAAGACGCTGCTGTCATGGACGTATATAAAGGGGGAGCTCATTTGGGACCATGCTTTGGAGGTGTTTCCTGACCAGTGCAGGCAATTAAGGAAGGTCCCTGCTTCCCTTCCCCTGGCTGACTGTCTCTGCCACCTGCAGCTTCCCCGTAATCTTGTCCATCGAGGAGCACTGCGGCGTGGAGCAGCAGCGTTACATGGCCAAGGTGTTCAAGGAAGTGTTAGGAGACCTGTTGTTGACAAAGCCCACGGAGGCCAGTGCTGACCAGTTGCCCTCACCCAGCCAGCTTCGAGAGAAGATCATTATCAAGGTAGGGATGAGTGTAGGGGCAGCTGTCTACCACGGTTGCCATCATCAAGGAATGGCGCCAGAGGCCCAGTGCCAGACTCCGGGTCTCATCTTCTTTACAGTCTCTTTGATCTTGGGCAAGATCTTAGTCATTTAACCTCTGTGTGCCTCTGTGCCCCTCTGGTAATGGGGGGGACATTGAACCCCGTTACCTGGTTGCCTTGGCAGGAACAGGTGTAAGTGGGTATCTGTAGAATGCTTGTCACTGTGCTCCTGTTATCATCAATTTTATACCTAATAGCTACATAGTGAGACTCGATCTGAAAACAACACAAATGGAACTCATGCATTCTTGGGTAAACCTCACCAGGCCTGTCTGCGAGTCAGTCTTGTGTGAGTGTTGGAGGGGTTCCAGTGGCCCAGGTCTCATTCCTGCCCTTGGGAGCACCCAGATTATGGGGTATGGATAGCTGCTAAGCAGGTGTGAGTTAACAGTGGGATCCTGGGCTTGGTATTCCTGTTCTATGGAGGGCATGCATGATTTTATCTGCCCTTGGGGACTTTCAACATTTGCATATTTGTGTTGTTAGGATAAAGAGACCAGATAAATAGTGAAATAAAGCATGCACAAGTTTATATTCCTCCTAAGAGTTAGAATATCCTAGCAGCTTTGGGTTTTGGTTCTCAAAGTGATTTGGGGACCAAGGATCCTGATATTCTACTCTCTCTACAGGGTAGGGATTTTCAGTGGGGCTTCCATAGGCCCCCAAGAAGCGAGAGTTAGAATTTGGTGAGGGGAAAGGACATGGGAGTTTGGAAGGGGAAACTCTGCATCTCATTGACCTATACATGTCAGTAACATTTTTCCCTTTCACTCAGTCCCCACCTCCCTGCAAAGCCCAACCTAAAACATAAGGAAACAGAAGCAGGGCACCTGCTGGAAAAGAGGCAGGGATAGAAAGTGGGGGACAGAGGACATGCTAATTTTAGACTGAGTAGGTAAGGAGGGTGCCTCTGAGGGAAGAGAGGTCTCCAAGAACAGAGCTGAGATTGTTGGGAACGATGAGCCATCAAAGGATCTGGGGTAGGAGGGAGCAGGTGCATGCTGGGTGGCTGATGGTGGGTGAAGTCTTGCTGGTTCAAAGACTCTGAACTTGCATCCTTAGCGAGGAGGGCTATGTGAACTTTCTCCCCTTCAGCATAAGAAGCTGGGCCCCCGAGGTGACATCGATGTCAACGTAGAGGACAAGAAAGATGAGCACAAGACCCAGGGAGAGCTATACATGTGGGACTCCATCGACCAGGTGGGCCTGGGTTCCCCTCCCCCCATATAGAGCTGTGGGTGCTGGCTCTCAGCCATCCTAGGCTCCTGCCATAAAGTATGGCACTATCCCGGCCTTTGCCCCATTTGGAGCCATGTGACTTGTCTTTTTTTGCATTATAATATTTCCAAATAACTTCATATTCAATTAAATATGTACTAATACACAGACAAACACTGAAGACTGCCATATACCCTAGATTCAGGGCTCTTCCTTGTTGCACAATTGGCTGAGTGCCCCTTACCCCTTGTTCTGCCTTGGTCTTGTAGGGACCCAAACAAGACCCAAACAAGTTCCCAAACAAGACCATCTGTTGTACCCACAGCAGCCAGGACATCCACAGTGCTGTGACACTGTCACCACGTTGTGAATCATATTCTGCTTTACTGCTGTGTTAGGTAGAAGTTTATCACAGTCACTAAGTGCCCTTCCAAGAAAGCAGCTTGGGAGAAAGAGGGGTTCTCTTGGTTTATTATCTTGGAGGGCTCAGTCTGGAACACTTGCTTCTGTGTTACATCTGTGTTGGTACATCAGGAGGCAGAGCATCTTGATGGGGAATGTGTGGAGGAGCCAAGATGCTCGCCTCGTGGTGGATGGGAGGCAGAGATGATAAGAGATAAGAGATCAGCCCTTTAGAGGCACAACCTCAGTGATATCTCCTCAGCCAGGCCCGGCTTCCAACTGTTTATTTTGTTATGAACATGTCAATGAATTGCTTAACCCCTTTATGAAGTGGGTGCCCAATGACTTAGTCATCCCCCAAAAACTACCAGTTACAAGCAACCCTATAATACATAGTCCTAGTAGGAATAGGCTTTGGTTTAAACTGTAGCATTTACTTGTGTCCTTTTCCCATTTCTCAGCATGTATATTAGCAGTTTTGCTGTTATCTTCCAATCTGATCATCATCATCTTCTTCTTGTTTCTCTTCCTCCTCCCCTTCTTGTTTGTCGAGACAGGGTTTCTCTGTGTACCAGTTCTGACTGTCCTGGAACTCACTCTGTAGACCAGGTTGTCTTGGAACTCACTGAGATCCGCCTGCCTCTGTCTCCCGAGTGCTGGGATGATGGGATGAAAGACGTGTGACACCACCATCTGGCTTATTATTATTATTAATTGTGGTAGAGTAAAATTTTCAAGCTTTAATGCTTCTCCCACACCTCCTGGCACCCATAAATAAATATGATATAGATAATAAATATGAAATAGTTAAAATTTAAGTAAATCACAATGAAATGTGATTTACAGTGGAGTCTGATTCAGCCTCTAAGAATGAAATTATAGCATTTACATCTGGAAATTGGGATTTTAAGAGATAAAATAAGTATATTGATCATTTATCTCATATATTTTTAAATTCTAGTTTTTTAAAAATACTTACATATCTGGGGCCTGGAGAGATGACTTGAGTGGTTAATAGCATTTGCTGTTCTTTCAGAGTTTGTTGCCCAGCATCCACGTTGGGTGGCTCACAGCCATCTGTGTTCCAGCTCCAGGGGATCTGATGCCCTCTTCTGGCCTCCCTGGGCACTGCATTTATGCAGCACACACACACACACACACACACACACACACACACACACACACACACACACACACAACCCCCCTTTCAATATATATTTATTATGTATTTATTACATATAAATGCATATACATATAAAGATATTTGGACTTGTATAAGTGCTTCCTGTATGTGAGTGACATAAAAGTAGAAGAGAATATTTACGGAGAAAGGAGAGAAGCACGGGGAGGAGGGATCATGAAAGGCAACAGAGGAATGAATCTGGTCAGGTACAATGACATGTATGTATGAAAAATGTCACAATGAATTGTTTTTGCAGGAAAGATCTCACTATATGGCTCCGGTTGGCCTGGAACTTGCTATGTAGATCAGGCTGATCTCTAACTCACAGAGATTCACCTGCCTCTGTGTGGTGTGTGTGACACCCTGTCCCCCAAACCCATTATTCCACACAGTAATTTAAAAACAAAATAGTAAAATATAAACATGTTGTTAGGTCAGTTGTCTGAAACTGTCCAGAAAGGTAATAGGCTGTGCATGTAGCTCAGTGGCAGAGCCCTTGCCTATCATGCACAAGGCCCTGAGTTGGATCTCCAGGACCAAGGAAGAGTTAGGTAAATTATTAAAATTAGTCATGAGGGTGAATAATCTCATTTGCTCGGAAAAGCTGCACATTAGCAATGCAGCAGAAATTCTCTACTCACTCTCCTCTACTCCTGGACGCTGATTTAAAAAGTCCTGAAAAATACCAAGAATCCAGAAGCAGGTGTTTTAAAGAGCACATCTTGTAAACTCGTTATAAATGTGGAAACTGGAGCAGGGCAGTCCCCAGTGAATGCTGGGGTGATGTCCCACAGGTCCCTAGAGTCAATGGGCCTGAAGCCTTGGGGGACACTAATGCCAGCCTGGCTCTCTAGAAATGGACTCGACACTACTGTGCCATTGCTGATGCCAAGCTGTCCTTCAGTGATGACATCGAACAGGCTGTGGAGGAGGAGCTGGTCCAGGTAGGTGGAGACCTGCCCGTCCTGCCCTTGCCTTCTGGAGCTGGGCTTGTCTCAGGAAGATCCCTACCTGGAGACAGTGTAAGGCTTCACATATCTGGGTTGGCCAGAGCATTCTCACCCCTAAAGATCCATTGCTTTGAGCAGCAAACCTTAACTGGTTTTTCCTGATTGGCTAGCTGGCCTTATGGCTTAACCAATAAGATTCAAGGCTCTTTCCTGGTCCCTGTAGGGACGGACTGGCTTAAGGTCTAGGATCAGTGAGTGTTCCCTGGGGGAGGTGATGGATCCGCCCCCTGCCCTGACTTAGATGTTCTCTTCAAAGTCCATCTTTGGGCTTTTCTTGAGTACAGCCCAGGGTGAGCTCAGGCTTCTGGTATTGGAAACTCCGGAGCCCCTGTCTTAGGACTCCCGGAAACTGACATTAATGAAGAAT